TGACTTTTATCCCTTCTTATAGAAAGGTAACCTAGGGCTGGTGAGATGGCTCAGTGGTCTAAAGCACCTACTTAGAACAAGCTGAGCTACGCAAAACACAGGGACCACGGTTCGATCCCCAGCACCACATGCCAGCCAGCCCCCGCCCCCTGGTGGGCTGAGCTGGCCACACACACACACACACACACACACACACACACATACATAAATAAATAAATAAAAGTAGTTTTAAAAAAAAAAAAGTATATTTCAAAAAAAAAAAAAAAAGAAAGAAAGGTAACCTAAACATTGTCAAGCATCACAGGGCATTTAGAGGAGCAAATTAGTCTGTTCTCTGAAGACATTAGAAAGTCCTCTTCCTTAGGTACCAGAGAAGCCATGAACCCCAAAGTAGCATGTAAAGCCAGTGGGAGTGGGGTGTGACATTTCCCAGAAGTACTGTATGAGCCCAATCTTAATATTGTGATGCATGACGTTGCTTTTCCAATAAAGTTGATAGTTTATTTGATTTTGAGGGTCCAATGAATATATACTTTTTATTTTTTATTTTTTTAATGTATTTAGAACAGGGTCTACAGCGTTTCACTACACAGATCAGACTCATAGTGATCCTCCTGTGTGCAGCCTCCCAAGCCCTGAGATTACAGGCACACACCACCACACCCAGTCTCAATCACTGGCTCAGTGCATCCCAGGGGTGGGACCAGCATGGCAGGCTGGGAATCAAACCCCCAGTTCCTGCATCTGCCTAAGCAAGCACTTTAATCTGATGAGCTATCTGGCCAGTTCTGAATATGTATTTTTTACCTGACCATTTTTCTTTTAATTACTAGAAGAACCCTGCAAAGAATAGACTTACTTAAAAAAGTTTATTATTTGGAATATAACTAATAAACAGATTGGTAAAGTAGGAAAGAAATCTTAGAAATTTAAAAAATTGTTCATCAGATAAAAAACTAAAGTCAACTTTGTGTGTCAACAAGTGGTCATTCTATTAAGTTTTCTTAAAATGGCTAGAATATCTCCAAATGACTCAAATATATGTATGGCCACATAATATATATGATAATACAACATCTACTTGTATAGAGAATTATTTTCCACTGGTTAGGTTTCAGAGTATGGCCTAAGAAACTTTGAACAAGGAAGTACAAGACCAATGCATAATAATGCCCTTTCAAATTTTTTAGTTAAAGAAAAGGAGGATGCCCATGCAGATCCTGAAATCCAGCCCATGAAGGAAGATGATGGAACTTTTGGAGAATACAGGTGAGCCTCTCTGTGTTACACATCTCTCATAATTAAAACTTTCTTATTTATTTATTAAAAATAAATTTCCAGGGGAGAGATAGCTCAGTAGAATAAGCGCTTCCCTGGCAAACGCAAGGGCCTGAGTTCAATTTCTGGTTCCACCAAATAAATAGATAAATAAATTTCCATTTTAGTCATAGGTTTGGAAGCAGAATATCTTTCATCCTATGATACTTTCCAGAAGCCTGTGCTGTGTTGATCAATCTAGCAAAACCAGGGTGTTAGAGTGAGAATTAAAACTGGACTGTACACAGCCTGCATTATAAAAGGAACATGCATTATTAAGACCAATAGTTACCAGATGTTTTAATTTTGGATTTGTAGCTGGTTTTTTTAAACAACACCAGCACCCCCACTGTTAGGCATGAAATGATAGCAAAGTTTTTAGAAGATATGAATTTAGAAGCTATTAACTATTAGGAAATATCCATCATCCCATTTAGGCACTGTGTTAACTCACAGAACCTTGTTAAAACATGTTTTGTTTGACTTCATCATTAAGAAAAACTTTTGGTTCAGGGAGATGGCACAGTAGAATAAGTGCTTCTCTGGCAAGGGCAAGGATCTGAGTTCAATCCCTGGTTCTTCCAAAAAAAGAAAAGAAAAGAAAAGAAAAGAAAAGAAAAGAAAGAAGGAAGGAAGGAAGGAAGGAAGGAAGGAAGGAAGGAAGGAAGGAAGGAGGGAAAGAAAGAAAGAAAGAAAGAAAGAAAGAAAGAAAGAAAGAAAGAAAGAAAGAAAGAAAGAGAACTTTTAACATAACCTAGGTGGTAAATGTTTTTTAAAATCTGTTTAAACAAAAATATTCTTGCCTAAATGTTATAGTCTTTAGAAAGAGAAATTATTATCTTAGAAATGTTTTAAAATGGAAACAGAAACAATGTATTTAAAAGATTTATATTCTGATATTCCAAGAGTATATTCCTATTTGTAAAATGCTTAATATCTTAACTTTTTATAAGCTTCTTGATTATATTATCTATAATTTTTGAAATATGCTTTGGCCCCATCCTGAGACTTTTTGCCAGAAGAAAGAACATATAGGTGAAATAAAATATTTCACTATAGTGATTTCCAGGTGAGATTTGTAGATAAAGATACTTCCATTATCTATATTTTGTCCCTCGAGCCCATTTGTAGTATTTCTGTGTTAAAATATGAGGCATGAAATAATGCCAAGAAATGTAGAATTGTTGAGAAGACCATATATTTTCAACAAAACAGGCTTTATACCAGTTTCCATGCAGACATGAGTGTTTTGCTTACATTGTCTCAATACCAGAGTTTTCATATTCTGATTCTTCCTTTCAACAGCAACTACTATGGTTTCTAAAATTCCTCAGAATGTTAGTATCACAAGATACAGAAAAAATGTGTAGTGAGGGTTGTGTGGATGGCTCAGCGGCTGAAACTGTATGAGAACCTCAAGCAGCACCCACCTGCTGCACGCAAAAAGTTTTTGTAGTGCATTAAAACAGCCAGCACAGGGCCACAGCCTAGGGCAGCCATGTGTGACACTGAGGAGTAGGAATTGTCACTTGTCTAACTCTCTTCTGCATATTTCTTCTGTAAGCAGGTGAGCTGGGAATTGCTAAGCAACCTCTTTTTAGAATTCTTCTAGCTATAATTCTATATAGGATATGCACACCACTCCCTTATTTATTGTTATGAAGTGGTAACTTTATTATAGGTTGGGAAAATTATATATTTGCATGAACTGAAATTAAACCATTGCACTTCATGCATCCCCCACATGCTGATGGATTCCTGTTCTGCGTTATCACGTTTAAATGAATATGGCAATGTACTGCTCACCTTATGAGCCTCAAGTAGCCCTTGCTATTAATTACAGTGATGAGAAACAATGACCTGAAAGAATCTGACTTTCTGTGGGTAATTATACAACCTACACCATTAAAACCTGATTAAAGTGGAAGTTGAGGTTTATAAACTAGTTTGAAATCAAGACTGCTAATTTTACTTTCAACTTGGCCATTATCTGAGATTCTTTTTCTGTTTGTCTAGATCTCAGTTTTTGTAAGACTTCTTTTATAGTTATGTGATTTCTGTGTTCTCTATGAGTTCTCTACTAATAACTTTTAATATGATTTTGTTTCCAGAGCAGTACATAGCAAGTATTTCATTACTGATCTCATACTACTTGATTTACACTGTTAAATCCTCTCTCTCTCTCTCTCTCTCTCTCTCTCTCTCTCTCTCTCTCTCTCATGCATCGTTAACTCATGCATGCTATGGTTGTGGAGCGTTTTCAAATGGCTTTCTTTAGCTTTCGCCTTCAATTTTCAAGATGCACATACTTTTAATTTGCACCTTGAATACAAAGCCAATTGGAATAAAGATAAAAATAGTTGTTACACATGTAATAACACTGATCTTAAAGGCACCAAGGGAGATAAAGTTCTGGTGGTGTTTCCAACTTGAAACACAATGGTGATGTTGTTTTAAATGAGGTTTAATCTCATAAGGACAATCCCATCAAGTCACTTCCATAAATTCCAGGACACCTTTGTTATGGAGGTGGCTTTGTCCTGCAAGTTTTAGACACTACCTCAGAATTTTTCCCTTTGGCTTCACTTGTATTTAAAGAACTCAGAAGACTATTATTATCTTAGATACCATAATTGATGAAAACGGTTCCAACTGTTTATTACAGAATTATTTTTTAAATAATATATGTGTCATTTCTCTTCCCCCAGATCATTAGGGTCCTTTCTCTGCTTTGCACCTTTTGGAAGTTTTAAACTGTCTTTCTTACTGATTCTGATCCTCTTTCCTACCGAAAATAAATTATAATGTTCATCACATACTAACACCCACAAAATTAGGACTATTGTCTGAGTGTAAATAAATTCCACATATGGTTAGCTCCTTCTCCAGTTGGAGGACAAAACCATCTTTACATGGCTGGTTTTAATCCAGAGGACATTTCCTAGTGCAAAGAGGGATAGAACCTTGACGGTGAACAAATTTGATTGTCTTTTTCATACACTATAACCTTGTGCCCTCACTCACCCACCCTTAAGCAGCAATCCTCTCATGGAAGCCTGCAGCTTTCTTTGTTTGTTTCTTTAATTATACAGACAGTAGGATCTGCATCCTTACTAGCATATAGAAAAATCAGAGAAACAATGCAACCAGCTGTGTAAGTATTTTCTTATTCTTTAGATGCATTCTTTTTAAAAGCAGAATGAACCTAGGTCATAAATTCTATGCCGGTGACACTTGCTCTCATAGTTTACTGCATAATTGGAGGCTCTTGCCACAGGAATCTTGTCATTCATGTGAACGTGGCCTCTCTGCAGACTTGCTAATACACATGCCCAAAGCTTGCGTGATATGGAGCTGTGTCGTGTTTATTGCATACTTGATGTTCATTCTGCTCACCAACATGACCTAATGAACATCTAGAGAGCGGGTCAGGAAGTTTTGGAGTCATGAATATCTATAAACTGTGTCATGGTTTGGTAAGGTGTTGGCTAACAGGAAAGTCAGATTACCACAGGTTTACTTATTGCTGCTGAGTTTTACTCAGTGGGCATGTAATGGGTGTGTACAACCCTTAGCCAAGCACTGCTGAAAAATTGAAGTCCTTGATGTTTGTTTTTAGTGTAAAGATGAGAAAAATGTATTTCATTCCTTTATCTGGTGTCATATAATTAAGAAGGAATAAAATATTTTAATGTTAGAATCTCAAATAGTTTATGAAATGCCCATCTTCTCTGTTGTTCCTTTGCCACGAATTCATCCAAATGATGCTTATTAGATGCCTACTCTATGCCAAGCCTGCAGATATTAAAAGAAATAGATTTTTGTGGCATGTCTAGAGTTATGATCTAGTGAGGGGTTCAAGGAAGTAAAAGAATGGCTTGACCAGAATGTGAAAAGGACACGAGTGAAGTACAAAGAAAGCAGGACAGGAAGTTAAAGTAAAGCACACCATGTAGGAAGAGAACAGTGCGGGGAGTCTTTCTAGAGGAAACGACACAGGAACTGGCATGGGGATGCTTTTTTCACTGTAGTCAAATTTTAATCTATTAATGAATATATTTTGCATCTATAAATACTATATTTTAACATTTTGAAATTCATTTAAATTTACTTTACCTTCTGGCCTCACCATTAATAATATTGTTCTACTACAAAAATGGGCAAATGATTTGTTTTATAAAGTATTGAAAACTGCAAAGCTAAGCATAGGTATATAGGCATATAATACATATATATATATATATATATATACACAATATATAAAGGTATATATAGGTATATAAGGATAAAGGTATATAATCTTTTATCCTATATATGGGAAAATTGCATATATACATAGAAATCTGTGTATATAAATTATACAGAATATTTGGTTTCACTGTGACATTTTAATACATGCATGTAACAAATCATCTTCAATAACTTTTTGGTCCTGTCATTTGGAAAACTACCCTTTCACAATTAATCTGGACAAGGCAGTTTTTCTTGGCACAATGTCAAAAGCAGTTTACTTACCATTTCATTATAAAATTGGTCTCTGAATTCATTTACTGCTTCACACAGACTTGAAATCACTCACCACATCTGAAGACTTCTGAGTAGAAAAAAGATGAGAGATAGGCGTGGACACATTCTTGCCGAAGACCAACCGTGTGCCAGACACTGCATGCACTATATATAGTTTTTTCTCTCTTGACTACATTCTAATTACTGAGGCATACTATTTCATCAGACCACTTTTTAAAAGCTAGGCTTGTAAAGATCTTGCTGTCCTCAAACAGCTTTTGCTGAAAAGACTCTGTTGATAGAGAATCTCTTCTCTTCTCTTCTCTTCTTTCTCCAGCACAGTGTGTTGCGGGGGTCTTGCACACCACAGCCATGGAGCTGGGCTGAACAGATGCCCAGGGAACCCTCTTGGCTGGTCATTATTCATAACTGATGTGATTGCCAGTGTAAAAGAATCCACATGGGAAATGACATTAATTATCAGGGTTTAGTAGTGTTATTTGACACAAAGCTAGCTTAAAAATAAATTATATTGCTATGTATCAGCAAACAGTTGAAAATGAGATTTTTTTTTAATGATTCTAGCTGGGAAAACATAAAACTATGACAGAGATTAAGCCAAAAAAAAACCCAGATTTTTCAATTGTCTTGGAACTTTATATTCCATTTCACTGGTCAATTTAACCAACTCTGCACCAAAATTACACTTTCTTAGCAGCATTAATAAATCTTAACATCTGCTGCGTCAAGTTCTCTAACTTTTTCTCCAAGAGATTTTAGAATATTCTTTTCCCTTTTAATTTGCACACACATTTTAGAATCATCTTGAAAGTTCACATAAAAACCTACTTGGTACAAATAGATTAACTGAAAAACTATAAAGGGAACATTAATGTATTTCCACTACTTGAGCCTCCTATCTATAGGTATGTTACATTCCTCTACTATTTATATCTTCTTCAATCTAAATAAAAGTGTTAATTTCTTCACAAAGATCTTTCACATATTTAATTTTTCTTATTTATTTCATATTTTATGGCATCATAAATGGAATAATTGTTTTTTCAGTACCTGGGATTGAACTCAGGACCCTGTATTTGCCAGGCAGCACTTGCTCTACTCAGCTATCTCCCTGGCCCTGGAATAATTTTTAAAATATTATTTACTTTCCAGTTGTTTGAAAGGGCACAAATAAAATTTAACATACAGTAAGTTCTTTTTTCTAATATTTGCCTGTAGATTCTTCTAGGTAGTTCACATAATGACAGCTATCTCTTTTTTTCTCATCACATTGCTTAGTACTTCCAATGAAATTTCAATTTGAATGGTGACAGTTGCCATCCTTACTGTTGTTTCTGATGTCGAACAAAAAGCTTTCAGCATTCACCATCAAAGATGTTTACTCTAGGTTCCTTGTAGATATCTTTAATTGATTAGTGAAGGTATTTTGTATACCTAGCATATTAAATTTTTTATTATTAATGGATGTTAAACTTTGTCATATACTTTTTCCTAAGTCTACTATGATCACCATAAATATCTCTGCTAAGATGGCAAACTTTATGAATTGATGTTTCAATGTTAAAAAGATTTGTATTCCTGGAGTACACCCAACCTGGATATACTATATTATGGTATTTTTTAGATTGCTAACTTCAATTTTCTCATTTGTTTGAGGTTTTCTCATCAATATGCATGGATGAAATTAGCATCCACTTCGACTTTCTTTAAGTGTTCTTGTTGATTTTATAGTTCTGTATCACACTACCTTCATAAAATTATTGAAGAGTAGCCACTGTGACATGTCCAAAACTGAACCACTGCTCTTGTCCTAGAAACTGCACTCCATATTAATTTAGGGTAATCCCAAGCTTCCTGTCATTCAAACCAAAAATCTTGGTGTCATTCTTTTCCTCTCTTATTCCAAAACTGATCCATCAAAATATCCCATTGGCTTATATCTATATCTGAGCATATATCCATAATCTGAGCATTTTGCACCAATGTCCCCTGCTACACCACATCAGTCATTTCACTCCTGTATTACTGCATTAGTCTCTTCTGGCTTCTTAGAGTGGAGCCTGGAGCCCTTGTTCTATAAAATACCTGGTGTTTATACTTTAGATGTTGCAGCCAATGCAGTCTCTGGCAGCTCTACAATTCTACAGATATAACACAAAAGCAGCCATAAAGATTGTCATAAATGTGCACAGCCCAAGTTTGTGGTAGTTTACCAACTCCTACCCTCTTAGGTAAGCTCTCCTCAATACTGAGAAGGCTTTTAAAGTGTAGATCAGATCATGTCACTCATCTATGGAAAATCCTCTAGTGGCTTCTCTAGCCCTCCCTTTCTTTACCTTTATTCTTCTAGTTCCAGCCCCCAAAAGCATCTTGCTGTTCTTAGAACAAACTAGCCTTGCACCTACCTTAGGGCATTTGCACTGCTTGTGACTTTTGCCAGAATTGCTTTGCAGCTCTCCACATGCCTAATTTAACTCTTAAGTCTTTGATCAAATGCTACTTCTTAACAGGTCCTTCCATAGCTATCCTACTTCAGGCCAACCCTTCAACCCTTCCCCAATCAGTTTCTGTCCTCTTTACTGACTTTTATTTTCTCCAGTACTAGCCACCTTCTGACATAAGTAATTTTATTTATTATAATGATTGCTGGTTGAATTTTCCCCACTAGAAGTGAACTCATTGAGGTCAGAACTCTAGTTTCCTCTGTTCACTGCTTTATTCCTTGTGCCTAGAACATCAATCTTAGAGTAGGCACTCAATAAACATTGATTGGAAAGATGAATAGATAGATTACTGGATCAAAGAAATGTCATAGGCAAATTCCTTTAGTGTACTCCTTGATACACTAGTTCTATAAAGCAGAATTAAGACTAATAGTTTGAATTCAGATTACAAATTCTGCTCATTATTGATACCTTCTTCAGCATTAACCTTCTCACCTAATCATACTTAATATTTCACAGGAAGTAGTCAAGCACAGCCTAGAGCTAATATTTAAATCCCAAAGATATTGTACAAACTATTTTTATATTCAGTCAGGTGCAAGATATTATGTCTTCTGAAATGCCACCAAAGACAGGCTACTGCCAGGTTCATTGATACCACTCTAATTATCAGCAACACTGATAAAAATCAATTATTCAGATGCAAAAGAACTTGTGCATTATTTAAACAGGTCATTTTCAATATCACATGGCAGTGTCATATTTCTAGCATTACTTCCCAGCCTTAAGATATTCTTACTGGAGACAAAACAAAATTTCTAGTTAAAGTTAATGGCAAAAGAGCTAAGCCAGGCATAGAGGCACAACCTGTAACCCCAGCATTCAGGAAGCTGAAGCCGGAGGATCACTAAGAGTTCAAGGCCAGCTGAACTGGATAGTGAGGCCCTGTCTCAAAACAAACAAACAAACAAACAAAAACCACAATATTTGATCAACTTAAAATCATGGGTTGGCTAGAAAAGAAAAATCACTCTCTAAAACAGGAAACAATTCAATCATAACACAAATTCCTAGTAAAAATAAAAATACCCAGCTAATGTGACCTCTGTTGTATTAGGGCTTTCTAACTAATATTGTGTCTGTTTTCTATTTTTCCCTGCATTTTTATTTTTTGGGGAAAAAAAACAAAATATTGGATTGCCTCTGTTATTTATTTCCAAATTTTACCTATTAAAGGTCAACGTGTGGGGCTGGTGAGATAGCTCAGCAGACTAAAGCACCTGCTTAGGCAAGTGCAGCAATCTTGGCTCAATCCTCAGCACCACGTGCTGTGCCAGCCCTGCTCCAAGGGTGGGCTGAGCCATCCACAGAGTCTGGACATAGTGGTGCATGCCTGCAATCCCAGCCCTGGGGAAGCCGAAAGCAGGAGGATCACCATGAGTCTGAGCATAGTGAGACCCTGCAACAACCAAATACATTAAAAGTAAAAATAAAAATAGAAAAGGTCAGTGTGTATACCTAAATAGTTGTATGACCATATTTATGGACTTTTTTTTTGTTGTAATGGGAATTGAACCCAGGTCTGTCACCTGAGCTATACTCCCTGCCTTTGTTTTTTGTGGTTTAGATTGTTTTATTTTGTGTTGTTGTGTTTTGTTTTGTTGAGACCAGGTCTTGTTAAATTGCTAAATTGCCCAGACCGACCTCAAACTTGCCATCTTCCTATCTTAGCCTTGCAGAGTGCTGGGATTACAGGCATGTGCCACCATACCCAAGTAGTGGACATTCTTAAACACAGTGATTACTCTTCTATTTCCAAAAGTTGTGCTTAAAATAAACATAAAATAAACATAACAGTAGTAATAGTAGTAATAGAATCCTATAAGGTTTTCTTAAAGTACACTGGCAAATTCCCATCCAGCATGCAAATGAGAGAGGCATGAGAAAGGGAGAAGGGGTTAGGGTAGGTACAGGAAGTGTTTGCGCTTACTTGCTGGGGGTACTCACACTCTTTCGGATATATCAGCCTGGCATTTGTGTACAAATGTAGTACTTTTAAGTTGAATGTGTCTCTTTCCAAATTAATAAATATTTAGCCATTGACTAAAATTTTTATAGGAAAAAAGTATACTATCCGTATAAGGACTTTGCTTTTCTTCTTAGGCTATTTTCATTTGTTTCTTCTGCATCCTTTTAATGGGATTTGTAGGTCTCTTGAAAGGTAAGGTTAAAGTTTATTAGTCTGGCCTGTACTTGATAACAAAACTATTTGAAATACAAAATTTTTTGGCTTCTTCTGGCTCGGAAAAAAAAATCCATATTTCACATTTAATCAAATCCATGCTCCTCCATTCACATCCAAGAATGGTATATCAGAGATGTCTAGTTTAACATACTAACTTCTCTATTTGCCATTAGCTTTTGCCCCACCCCCACCTCTTCAATTCAAAATAGGAATGATTTTTCAACTTTTATCAATCCTTCCCTTTTTAATGCTTGTGGTTATTTCTGGGTTGCTTTCCAATCAGGAATCAGAATCTCATTGAAATTAACATGCACTATCAAAAGCCATCCACTCTACTGAGGATTTCATGATTTAACCATTTCTGCACTTGATTTTCATTCCAGCTCCATCCTAGTCATTGGAGTCAACCTGACAATTAGATTTGGCTAAAGAAGCTCAGCACTCCAAATGCTTTTCCATGTTTTGCATGCATGATCTTTAAGAATAAAATATGTTACTTGACTGCCATTCTTTACAAAATCATTTCCCCTCTTTTCCAGTGACGCAGAAGACCACAAGCCTTTGAAAAAAGGAAGTCGAACACCTTCAGACAGGACTGTGAAAAAAGAAGATAGTGATGATAGCCTGGTTGACTATGGTGAGGGGGTGAATGGCCAGTTCAATGAGGATGGCTCTTTCATTGGACAATACAGCGGTAAGAAAGAGAAAGAACCAGCTGAGGGAAATGAAAGTTCAGAGGCACCTTCTCCTGTCAACGCCATGAATTCTTTTGTTTAATCTTTAAGCTCTTTGCCAATGTCCCGTTTCTCTAGAATATTTATCTTAAGCACTTGTTTGTCAGGCCTCTCATACTATGAATATATGGGTTGAAAGTATCCTTTCTGCTCTATGTTAATATTATGAGCACAGTTAAATCAAGAACATAACTCAGTCAAATGATATGTTGATGTGAACTTGAGTGCAAAGTACATATACTTTTTCATTTAATGTGGGTTTTTTTTATTTCCTCGGTACTTGATCAAAATAATGCAACACCATCAGCAGATCGCGTTATTTCCTCTCTGTTATACAATAAGATGCATGGGAAATGCTACACATTTAAGTCATACCTGTGTATGTTACCAAAACATGGCTTGACACTTTGTTTATACTATCTTCAGCTGAACCCCTAAATATGAACTCCGTTTTCATTGTTGAGAGTGCTACTATAGTATTTTCTAGAACTTCAATGTCTTTGTGGACATTGTTGTGAAATTGGTGACTCTATGTCTAGCTGTTGTTAGTCTTTTTGGGAGACTGTTAGGAAAAGTATGTACAGTATATTCTTGCTAAATGAGTTAACAATGAGAGTTGCATTTGCTGATGCTTACTGAGACTCTGTTACCTGCTTATTGCTCCTGTTACTCCATAGGCATCTTAATCTTCCAGGTATTACAGCAACACAGTGTTCTACTTTTTACATTGTCTCTACATTCAGTTATTTTTAGACAAAAACAATGTGTATTACAACACCTTTTGCATCTGTACCATCTGAAAGAACTGAAAACAAATTACCCTAATTAAATCTCAAAAATTATTCCAGAAAACACAGGGCAAGACATATCCAGTGCCTTCAGACAATAAGCATTCCAGAGCATACCACATTCTCTAGCAGCTGGTATGGTCAGCTCCATCCTACATTACTATCATTGTCAAAAAGTAACTTCTAGAAAGCAGAGATAATGAAAACTGCAAGACTGAAAGAAATAGAAATATGAAAAATTAAAATGGTAAGACATCGTTTTGAGGAGTATTTCCCCATCAATATAAAAAGAAGATCTTTATCATCAGCTGGGACACATTTAAGGTTTCTCTTCAAATGAGGCACATTCAGTAAGAAAGATAGCAACATGATAGAAAATGGACTGAAAGAGAAACAAATTATTGTAAAACTAAAAACATACTAGAGCATGCCAACCACAATTATTCTAAGGTTTTACCTGTATGAGCTTTTGCAGTTCTCTGCAGCGTTAAACAATGCTTATGCAAATTGCAGTGGACACGTTACAGAATCCAACAAGTGCTTAAAGACCAACAGGATATATGACATATATCCTATCATATTAAAAAACAATAGCTACCAAATGGTTAACCTCCAAATATGAAAATCTATAACAACCTATGGTTGAAGGAATGCTCAGTTTCATTTGCCAATAAATTGGTTTCTCATAACTTGCATCAAGTTTAATTTTAAGTAAAGCTTTTATATGTAGATATTTTGTTGAATTTGTAAATATACTGAAAGTGTAGATGATGCTATATGCTTACAGGTATAACCTACAAATAAATAGCAAACAATGTTTATGTTGTGCTGTGTAAGAAGTAAGATAATTAATACAGTGTGTGGAATTGGACAGCATCTTTTTGTATGTGTTTTTCCCCATTTTTGCTGTGAAGCTGAAGTAGTGAACTTCTCTCAACACTGACAGCAGGTTTCTAGCTGAAATTCTCAGAGCTTTGCCTGTGGAGCACAACAGGCTTAGGGATCAGGTGGCTGTGACTTATACAGGTAAAGCATAATTGCAAGTAATCCCAGGTCAAGATCCCAGGCGCTAAATACTTCTCTGTCTCCATATTTACATTTCGTGGATCCACTTACCTATTAAAAATATAATCAATAAAACAGGATTGTTTTGGAATCAGAGAGCACAAAGATGAATTACTTTCAACTTGTCAATGTTTGAAAGAACAATAAAAGTATAGTTTTTATTATTCTTCCATAATGATAAATGCTAAATTTATCTGTGCATGAGAGAGTCCCTTCTAAAATAAGGCAAAAGATTTTGTATTAAAAATTAAGTGTGGTTTTAAAAATCTCTTTCTCTTTTGTAATTTATCATGTTCCTAGTGGAGTGTGAACATCCAAATAATGGTACATGTAACAGTGCGGGTAAATGTGACTGGATTTCTTTCAAAAATGTAACTATTAAACAATCTTGATCTCTGTGATTTTTAACTTTTTCAAATGTATATTTCCTAATGTTTAAAGTAGTGAAAATTTTTATATTTACAGGAACAAGCAGGCCCTGTCTTCCCCTCCAGATTCACAGAGAAAGTTAAACACACAAAATTAAACATAATTTAAAAGACCTAAGAAAAATGACATAAAAAAAAGAAAAATGACATATCAAAAACTTAATGAAAAGCAATCATGAATATTACCAATCATTTAAGAAAAGACCCCAGAAAGCCAACCCTGCCTCCTTTCTTGAAGCCTGATTCCGGCTCAGTTCAGACTCTCTCTTCTACCTGTACAGCCTTTTCCTCAACCACGGGCAACTTGGGTTTCTAAACATGCTTGATGAAGCACCTTGGATGTTTCCTTCTCTCTACCCTCATTTTTCTCTTTACCCAAAAACTTTCTCTTCATGCAGCACAAGCCTAACATGTTCCACCACCTGCCCTTAGTCACAGGTCCCTGGTCCTAGCCTTGGTCCTGTGAGGCCAGCTGGCTGGAGCTCCCATCCCTACACAGTGATTGGAATAACAAGTGCTATGTGAACTGTTAGGATACTATGTAGCACTGAGTCTTTCTCCATGGAGGGCACATCTGTGGCTCACTCTGGAAGAACAATCAGGCCTTGTCTTCCCCTCCAGATTCACAGACTACTGCCTCTGTCCACAGGTCCATCCCTATTTAGCAACAGGGGCCAGAAAGACATAAGCCTGACCGCAAAAAAAAAAAGCATGAGTCCATTGCTGATACACATCATTTTTTTCTGTTTTATAATGGCCCTGCTTTAATTTTAATGACTGCTTTTGGAAATGGCTTGGGGTACAAAGAACAGAATTCTTACCCAGCACAGCAGATTTTTCTACAGATGACCACCAGAGGGCTCCCGAACTTTGCTCAGTGAAAAAGAAACAATTGCTTGCAGAAGCGCCGCCTTTCAAAACAGTGCATATCACTTTCTTGATGGTGTGGAAAAAAACTTTGCATACTGCAGCAGCCAGAGATGAGATTGTCAGGGTAGGCCCTGAGGAGCGACTGAGACCATCAGGACAGGCATGACTGAAGCAAACAACAAAATCTTTATTTCAGGCTGGGTGCAACCTGATCAAGGGCAAGAAGACATTGCACAGGAGGTGGAAAGGAATGAGTAGAGTCTAAAGATACCCAGGGAACAAAACTGGTGGGTGTGAGGGATGACATGTAGGAATAAAGGGGAAAAGCATCAGGAAGGGATAGCACTTCAATTTCTAACTTGCCTGGTTAACATGAGCTGCACGAAGGAGGAAGCTCAGAAAATAACCATGTTTGGAGGTAAGTTACGTATAAATACAGGTGAGTAGATGAGGCATTCAAAAACTTCAAGGTATGCAAGTGGATGTGACTGGTGGGAATTGGATGTGTGGGCTTACAGCTCCCTAGAAACTCTGAAGATAACGAGCAGTAATTTAAGCCAGGAAGCCTGGTTGAGGTTGCTGAGAAGAAAGAATATGGGCAAGAGGGCTCAGGCTTCGCCTTTCCAGGAAAGTCAAATATAGTGCACAGTAGGGGCCTCTACAAAAGAACAGCCAGCAGGAGCCATTCTCAGGAGCTTCTGCGCCAGAGGCACAAGGAGAATATGTTGGCTTGGAAGCCAGTGAAAGAGACTATTGCAAGAATGAGAAATGGAAAAAGAAAAGCATGACAAATGGAGTAAAATGAGATCTGGAAAATATTCCATGGCCTGTACGTCTCCTTTTTAGTTGTGTCTTTCCCGGAAATCCCATTCAAGCCAGCTATCTCCCTACTGGGAATTTTCCCAGAAGAACTGAAACATCATATCATAGTGATATATGTGTACCTATGTTTAGAGCAGCACAGTTTGTGATAGCCAAATCTTGGAAACAACCAAGATGCCCATCACATGAGGAATGGTTGAAAAAGATGTGGTAGTTTTATACAGTGGAGTATTACTTAGCTATAAAGAATGATAAACTTGAAACATTTATGTTTAAGTGGATGCCACTTGAAGATATAAGTGAAATAAACCAGACCCACTTGTCTCAATATCATATAGTCTCCCTAGTATAAGAAATCAAAAGAAGAAATACAAATAGAAAGGTATAACACAACTAAAAGGAAAGCGAGAACTTCAGGACTGGACAATGAGGAGAAGGTAAGGAGAAAACCTGGGAAACAGGACAGGGACAAAACCATACACTTGTATGCACAAGATGGGCAAGGCAATGATCCTGAGCAACATCAGCAGGTTTTTGAAACTAGCAGTTAATTGGTAGGATTCTCAACCTGCCTAACTATATATGCTGATACCTGTGAACCAAGCAACTGCACTGAAGATAACAATGTGTAACACTAGGGTTATGCTTGGAATGCCTGTCATTCTGCTCTTCTAAATACATACTTCTTGTCATAACATACCAATTATTACCATACTGTCTCACAAATAAAAGGGGTTTTTTTGTTTTGTTTTTTGTTTTTCTTTTTTTTAATGGATAATAAATGAAAAAAAAAGATGCAAGAAAAAGAAAAGGTCACAGGACTGTCCTGCTACAATGCTGTATATGGTTAGATTTCTAAATTTCTGTGTAAAAATATGTGGTTATGCCTATTTTTTAAATTTTTTTCTTCATATTCTGTAAAGACTTAAATTTCAATACATCAGTACTTGATGGAAGATACTTGTTCCACGTTATGCCTAAGATGTTCGATATTTAGACAGATAGAGTAAACCAAACTGCATATGTTACAGGGTAATAATAAGCTTCTCTTCTAGAGGGTTAACAACCTAAATTTGCAGATCAAAAATTGGAGAAAAGGAAGGGCTTCAAGGTCCACCAACATTTTGACCCTAGCCTTTCAAGGTCAGTGAAGACTGAGGACATAGGAGAACCCATACTGTAACATCATGTAACTCAGTTGTGCCCCAAATTTTCTGATCAAGGAGATTAAGGAGCCACAGAGGAATGTGATTGATGATGTATAGTGTGCCTACGGAGAATCACATGAAGAAAAAACTTTCTTTCAGACTTTCACAGAAAGCATTGGCCATGACTCATCCACATGGCTGGTCAAGCATTGGCCATGACTTATCCACATGGCTGACACTGACAGAGGATCTACAAAGTGCGGTACAGGGTTACAGGATAAATCCTAAGGGGACTTGACTGACCTTATCAGATACAAAAGTTACATTTCTTGTTATATAGGTCTTGCTTTATCTTGGTCTTAACCATCCAGCAGAAAAGTATAAAAACAAGGTATATAAAGTAAAGCCATATTAATATGCTGAGCTGTAAAACGTTCTAGTCAACAACTTCTGCAGATAACCCACTACTATTGTGGACTACTGGACTATGATGGATTGTTTTTGCTGAATTCAAGCACCTATATTATTTATATGCCAATAGAATGCCCATCTCTGACAGGACTGAACTGGAGAGGGGGGATATGGAGGAAAGACCATTTTGTATTTGTATATACAGAATAGTTAGGACAAATGTATGGCTGCTTTTGCTTGGTTCAGTGGAGGAAGGATTTATAGTAGTAGTATTTGGATGGGATGTCCTGGCTGCTTCTTGTGCTGTGGATGACCACTGAGAAGATAACAATGTGCAATGTATTAATTACTGAAAATGTTCTATTAATCAGCTTGGAAAGTGTCTCATTGATATTTGTTTCTCAATAAAATAAAAAATAAATAAAATGTTTTAGAACCTCAAAAAAAAAAAGAAAGAAAATATTCCTTGGACTTGAAAATATGGAGGTCATCTGAAGCTTTGGTAAAAGCTTTGATAGAAGATGACAGCAAATTGGAATGAGATGAAAAGTGTAGGAGATGGAGACCATGAGTTTTGCCTTTACACACATGGACACCGCTCCACCA